TTCTTTCTAAAATATTCTTTTCCTCATGTCAAGTAATAAATACACATTTTTAAAAGAGTAACGTGCAGCTAGGAGGCTGCAAAAATACATGTTTTTAAAAGAGAAGAAAAGACAGTCATAGTCATCTCTCCAAATGACATTTTCTAAGGGAGCCTCGGCACTGTGGGTCCAGGTTGACTGGCTGCCTTCAGGGATGCTTTATGCGAGTATACAATTTTGTTTGGGACTAAACTGAGATTGCTCTCGGTTCCTTTAAATTAAAACCAGCAACTGTGCACATGCAAGAGCTTTAGGCATTTTGATGTTCAAGACCAAGTTTATTACATAAAAGTGGAGTAATCCAGATCATCTTTTAAATTTCTAGCGTAATTCCCCAACATTATAAATTTCAAGAAGTAACACCACCAGCCTCTATTGCATACTTAAGCTAGATTTAAAGGGTTCCTTCTCCACCCATCATAGAACAAATTATTTTGAGTAACAAAGATTTTTTAAATCCAGCAAGTTCTAGGCATTCCACTGAGTTCCCTCTCTGAAGCCATACACTCACCATTCGTCAACTCTATGATAACCCCCTAAATTTACCAATCAGAAGCAATGAAGAAGACTATGTTGTTGAGTGCTCAGCATGTAGCAGATGTGTCACACCACCTCTACCTCACCTGCCCAACAGCCCTGTAGGTAAATATTATCATCATCTTGTTTTAATGATTGAGATCTAAGAAGCTTGGGAGAGGTCAAGTAACTGGCCCAAGGTCTTAAAGCTATTGAAGTGGCACAGGAAGGCCAACGCCAGACCAACTCCAAAGCCCAACTTTCATCTCCCATACCTGCTCTTCCTATGATTGGCTCATGACTTTTACTCTCAACGAGACTGAAAAAGTTCTTCTATGTCCACCTACAAGGACTTAATTGAGCACTCGTTTAACTGTTTCAAAACCCTGGCCATCCCTTACTCACACTACAAAGTCTTTTTTATTATATGTACAGCTGTTATCTAAGTGACACAGCCCACAGGGGACACAGAGGGCCCAAGGACTCTAAATTTCAAGAGCTGCATAAACAGTCAGCACATTGATATCAGCAAAACTGTAGGGATTTGATAACTACAATGCTAATCAGCTACAAAATTGTTGGACAGACTTCCTATTACTGGGCAAATGAGCATATTTAGTTAACCCAAAAATATCACCAACTGAAAGCAATTAGAGCATTCCCAACCTGAATCTCAAGCCTTACAGCCATAAATGCTGAAATAATGTGCATGGAAAGCTTACTGAAAATACTTTTTCTCAGAAGCTGTTATAATAAACACAAAAATTCAAACTGTAGAAAGCACTACCTTTACTTCAGGAATCTTGTTCAAGACACAAGTCCGTTTGTTTAATCTAAAACGAGAGCTGCTGTTTAATCAGCAGCTGGGTCCCACCGGCTTCACCGACTTCCGCGAGGTCCTTTATCTGGAGCTGCTAAACGCTTCCTCTGTGCTCTGTGATCTAATACGCCACAAAACAATGGAAGTGGTTTCCTCGTCTGACCACTACCCTAATATTAATAAACCGTGGGCTGAGAGGAATGCCTTCACCCATACAAGAGCTTTCTTTCTTATGTGAATCTGGAATAATCTTATAAAAGGCACATAATGGGATACTATGATCTGTAGAAAAGAATTTCTTAACTGTAATCTTAGTTCGGCAATTTAACTGTGTGAAAACAGTGGACTTCCTCCCTCTATGAAAGCTTCCTACTGAGGGCCAGCAAGATGTCAGTCTACCTAACAAGGATATTTCTGTATTTACAGAAATACAGATTCTCAGGAAAAGAAGCTTCCTGACAGGGTGTAAGGGACCCAGAGAGAGAGAAAGGCCCAAAATAAAGTGCAACCAAGAAATGCCTTTTGCCTCTAATGGGCAAAGGCAACGACATATTTACAAAGTTTTATTATGATTAAATGGATAAATATTTGTTAACTTCTGAATCTAGAAATTATTTTGGATGACAAAAAAAAACAACCTTGGATAAATAAATTTCAGTTTAAATGCTGAATTTTAGTAAATTGCCTCATTTCTTTCCCCATGCAAATGGGCTGGCAAAGGATAAAATTCAAGTATTTTTTCCAACCTGGTTTTGATAAGCCATGCTTTCTCCAAGACATTATTAACCAATTTGAACTTTAAGTAGAAAGAATGTGGCTAACGAGGCAAAAGACCCCATGCAATGATCTATCCTTAATTTGACGATGGCCAGCCCTGCAGATAATTAAAAGCTTGAGAGTTATTGTTTTCAATGTTTAACTGCTCTTTTATATGCCATATATATTCAAAAGGGTATATCTTTCATAATCAGTGATCTCACTTATGAGGATTAGCTCCAAGGTTCCTTTATTCTCCTTGGTCTAGAATCCATCTCTGCTACCAGGATTAATAATCTCTTCTGGATGGAAACACAAACCCCAAAATCTATGTGTGATTGTGCATCTTTTCCACAAAATTTAACTTTACTTACCTGTCAGTCATAAGCCTCATGTCTAACCATACACCTTCCAAGCAACAGAATATGAAGGGAAAATGTAAAAAGCTGCTATAAATCCACCAAATACTTCTTTATGCTTTATATATGTCAAGATTTGACATTTCTATTTATAAATTAATTTTTCTGATTTTACAGCACTCAAAAAAATTTAGATTTTATTATTTATACCACCATTAAAAAAACACGTTAAGAGATTTATAGGAAGGCAAGTTTCTATAGGTTCCTACATAGGATCCGTTTTTCAAAATATAAAAATATTCGATTAAGTGCAAGTCATTTGGAAACTTCTTGAATCCCTTCCACTCTTTATCCAGTATCCTACTCTGGGGCTAATTTTCAATTTAACCATCAATATCTTTCAATACCAGTATCAACATCTTTCCATAGTCTTTTTTTAAGTGTGTGTGTGTGTGTGTGTGTGTGTGTGTGTTTATTTATTTATTTCAGCGAGGAAGGGAGAAGGGGAGAGAGAGAAATATCAATGAGAAAGAATCTTTGATCAGCTGCCTCCTGCACGCCCCTGACCGGGGATCGAGCCTGCAACCCGGGTACTTGCCCTTGACCAGAATCGAACCCAGAACCCTTCAGTCGCCAGGCGACTCTCTATCCACTGAGCCAAACCAGCTAGGGCCATATAGTCTTTTATAACTTGCCAGATACTTTCTGTGACTCCTACCTAGCCTGCTTATACACTTCTAATAATAGTCACTCTCCTTATCTATCATATCAGAAAACAGAATTCACCTTACAAATATTTGATCTAAGGCAGTGGGAGAAATTTAGCCATTCCTTATATGATACAATGATAATAGTTAATACTCAACTAAAGGACACTCAATGACATAACCTGGCATAGCTCTGAAAATAATTACATACAGCGTTCATTGTAGGCGTGTTTGCAAAATATGTCTTTGCTGGGGACGGTAACTTCCATGTTCATACCCAATTACCATCATTCTAAAATAACCCTCAACTTCAAAAGTATTCCTAAGCAGTTACAAGGCTTGAATCACACAAGCAGGGGGATCTAAGACCTGGGGTTTAGTTATGATTCTACCTACAATTCAGCTGTCACCTTGGGTAGGTCATTTGACACCCCCATGGCCTCAGTATCTTCAAACTAAAAAATGAAGAAATTGTACTAAATTTTCTTTATAGACTATTCCAACTCGAAAATTCTATGATGGTGACAGGAGAAGGCTTGACTTTGGGTGGCGGGCATACAGTGCAATATACAGATCTTGTACACATAGAAACCCACCCCTGAAACCTATGTGTTCATGTTGACCAATGTCACCCCAACCAATTTAATAAACAGAATAAAATAAAGAAAATTCTATGAAATTTCAGTCTCTTCATTTCAAAGATAAGCAGCAGATGATAACGACAAATTAGCCTAGATTTTTTTTTTCCTTAAAAAAAAAAAAAAAGACCCAACTTGGGATGCTTTCTGGGGTTGGTGTTTTATCTAGGAAAATAAACCGCAAATGAAAAACGGCATCGCTAAAATAGAAAGAAAATCACGACTTAGCTAAAATAGAAACTTCAATCACCCTTGGGCCATTTTGTCAATAGTTATTCAAAGGCTGCTACTCTAATCACTGGCTTCCTAAAATAGAAATATGCATCGAGTTGCTTCCTTCTCATGCCCCGAGATTTAATCCGAATAAAAAGCACAGCGTCTAGCAACCGTTTGTAACTTCAGCACAAGCGGCAGGGTAGGGAGGGAACCCCGCAGAGCCCTCGGTCCTGAGCATTTAGTAGCAAGTGCGCGATGAGAGCTAAGAAACGGGTCTCATTGTAAGACGGGGAGACTCGCAGAGGGCAGGTGACATCTGCAAAGGGAAGCGGAACGGCCAGGAGGGGATGCGGGCTGAGGACGTGCAGGCAACAGGTCTGGAGCCAGGACCGCAGTCGGCCCGGGAGGGGGTCGGCCGCCGCCACCCCCTCGCCGCCCGCCCAGCCCCAGCCCCAGCCCCAGCCGCATCGCCTCGCCCCCGCCTCGGCCCTGGGGAGGCAGCCCGCGCCTGCGGCACCAACCTCCCTACTCGCTCGCTCTCCCGGGCCTCCCGCCCCGGCAGCCCCTCCGGTTCCGCGGCGCCGAGCCCGGCCCGGCCTGCCGCCTCCCCCCGGTCTCTCCCCGGCCCCCGCAGCCCGGGCAGCCCGTGGCCGCGGGGCCGCTCACCTGCCTGTTTGCGGAAGTGCACGCCCGGCGCCCCCGCGGCCAGAGCAGCAGCAGAGCAGCACCCCGTGGCCCGGCATCTCGCCCCCGCCGGCCCGGGCCGTCTCTCGGGTGCCTTCGTCCGTCCGTCCGTCAGTGCTCTGCCGCCCTTACGCTGCCTCAGCCGCAACGCGCTGGCGCTCCGGAGCGCGCGTCGCTTCGGCCAACCTCAGCCCGGCTTCCGGTCCGCACCCGCGCTCCGGCCACAGAACCACCATACTTTCCGCCAGCCCGACTCGCACCGCCGCCGCCGCCTCTCAACAGCAGCAACGGCAGCAACCCTGCGGCACCCCGCGCCCGGGCAGCCGCGCTCCCGCCGCCATGATGGGCTGCGTCATGTGACGTAGAGCGGGGGCGGGAGGCCGTGACGGACAGCCCAGCTAGCCAATGGCCAGCTCCACAGGCCACAGGCGGCCCCGCCCATTAACCTGTCAGAGAATGTGTGTCTGAGGGTGCGCCCCCTGCAGACCGAGAAGTGCGTGGGCAGCAGGTAATACCGGCAACTATCTTAAATTTAAAAACACGGGAAAGCATAAAGACAATAAAAAGCACCCGGAATCCATCCTCAATTTCTCTCTCCCTATTTTAAAACATGTTTTGCCTTCGGCCTTTTTTTTACTGTCGGAGCCGTTTCAGGCTCTTCTCCTTAAGGTTGACCTACACATCCTATCAGCCATCAAGGCGCTTTTGGTTTTTATTTCAAGAATAGAATCCCTCTTCCCTCACACCCCCTGACTCAGCTCCTGAGCTCAAGCCATTCCCTTTGCCAACAGTGCCCTCCTGCCCCGTCCTGGCCACCTGGCACACTCCCTCTCATCTGTCAGCACTCACCTGAAGGATGGCGTCATCAAAGAAGGCCGCTCCCCATCCCAGGAGGAATGACTAATGTCTCCTAACGCCCCGCCCCAGCCCTGGACAGACTGCTCCACCAGGTGCCATATTTTATTGTTCCCGTGACTGTAAGCTCCCTGAGGACAAGAGCTGTGCCCCTGTCAGCCGGGGTCCCCCGGGGGCTGGCTCAGAGCAGGGGTTCTCTAAAGGAAGGGTGCCTGTCCTATTCCTGGGAGCAGCTCCCAGGTCCACCCTCTCCCCACCCCAGGACAAGGCCCAGCCAACAGAGGGAAAGGGCAGAGAAAGCATTTTCCAGGCCCAAGTAACATAATCATGGGAGGCCTAGAGGCTGGGCAAAGGTTGGGCTTTTCTGGAAAATGCACTGTAGTCCAGTTTGTGCCTGAGAGGAACTGATCTGAATCTTATCAGATGGGCTCTCCCAACCGGCAGCCGGGAGCCTCCCCAGTTCTCCAAACTCCTCAAACGCCCATCCTCAATGCCCCCTCTCTGTGGTGCTGACCCGGCGCTGGACAAACAATATGTGCCCAAGAATATCTGTCAAATGATCAAGGTGAGCCAGTAAACACCTAAGGAAACAAACACTGGCTGGCATGTGAAATGCTGTTGCAGCGTCCATGGCTATCTGCTGATCTCCATGTAGGAACCGGAAGGAAGGCAAAGGTCTAGGAGAGAGACACAGTCACCCTGTGGTGCTTCGACATCCATCAGGAAGGCAGACATGGAGTCCCAGGAAGCGGGGAACACTCCCGCTGAGGACCGGGAGGAGCCGCTGAGCTTGCCTGCAGTCCATCCTAATGAAAGTGCACCCCAACGCCACGCGCCAGGCCAGGATCGCAGAGGAGGTTGCATGATCATCTGAGCAAGCCCAAAGGTTCTTTGAGAAAACTTTTTTTTTTCCACTTCACAGCACAGGGGTTGAGGTGCACATTCCTCAGAGGCTAACGGCAACCTTTACCCACCCCCCCACCCCCGTCACTCACACCTTTGCCCAGGGCTTCTCTTGAAGGCTCCCGGAATTTATAAAACAAATGAAAACCTGCCGGCTTTGTCTCATTTCACCTAGGAGTCAGAAAATAACCTTTGGCACAAATGTGGGATTAAATCCCAAACTGTGATGGTGGGAGGTATTGCACCACATGTTGCTGTGATCTGCGCTTTGAGGTTATTCACATCGATTGCAGCTGTATAGTAGAAATGCTACGTGATACTAGGCTACTGCACACCTCTTCCCCACTCCACCTTCAGTGATATCATGTCTGTAGCTTGAAGTAAGCCGTGGTGTGAGTCTTTACACCATGGAAATTGGCAAACAGTTCTAATCAGGGCTCTTTTCCTCCCAGAGAGCCGTCTGTTCGGCAACTAGTGGTCTTGCCTAGGGGACCCTCCATCGGGCCTGATGACTGCCCCTTGCTGACCCGAATCTTTTCTGTGGTTGCATTACTTTACTTCGGCCTTTGGCAAATAAGGAGACCACGCAGACTGAAAGCCAGACTTCTCCTGGTTCTCTGCCAATCGAACAAAGGTCACATACCTCATCCTGTCTCGCCTTCTAAATGCCTTTGTATTAAGTCCTCACCTTTTGTTGTCTTCTGGATCCTCTGCCTAAAACTGTCTGAGTCAAGGACAGCGCACCAGGTGCATTTCAGAGCCCTGAGGCATCTCCCATTTTGGGGGGCACACCTATATGGCAAAAATATAAATGAATGAATGAATGAAAATAAGAAATGCTGAAGCAAGGCTCAAATACATGCTGAAGTGTAACAAATGAACACTTTTAATGTACCACATAATTGATATTGCCATATAACGATGCTATCCACAACATAATTACAGGATTTATTAAAAGTACACAACAGACAGTGAGATTCAGCAATGAGATTGCACTTTAAAATTGTATTATGAATATATTTTTTCCAAGCTTATTGGTGTGTACAGCTTCATTTGGAGGTGAGTTTTATTTGACAATGACTTAAAAATCACGTTCTACCTGTCAGGAACTGCTCTAAGCACTTTGTAAGTAATAACTCTTTAAACTTTACCTAATTCTAAAATAGTTCCATCATTCCTAAAAGAAACTATACCTATTAGCAGTCACTCCCCACTTCCCCTCTCCCCCTAGTCCCTGTCAACCACTCATCTATTTTTCGTCTCTATGGACTTCCCTAACATGGACATTTCCTAGAAATGGAATTATACAACGTGTGGCTTTTGTGACTGGCTGAAGCTACGGTTCCCATTTTACAGAGGAGGAAGTTGAGAAGCAGAGAGTTAAGTACTTTGGCAAGGTCATGTGGCACAGGTAGGACCCAAACTCGGGCAGGCTGGCTCCAGAGTCCTTGCTAAGTCTCAACATCAAAACTGAATGAGGTCAAAGTGTACAGGCCAAAATGCCCCAAGTGCCCCTCAGGGGAGAGGCCCTACTAGGAGTTGCCTTCTGCTGGGGACAGGGGTGGGGATAGGGAGAAGAGTGGAGGTGGGGACACCAATACTACCCTGAAGGCAGTAGCTGCTCAATAAAGTACATTTTTCCATTGTGAAAGACAGAATCTCCTCCTGGAACGAACACTTGCATTTTTTCCCTCTGGCCCGCCCAGCAGCTGAATCCCTTCATTACTGAGAAAGCCCATGATAGGAATCTTGAAACGGGAAGGCCGCCTCCACTATGAAGACTGGAGGTCAGATATGCCCTCCGGGGCCCCAGCAGCGGTGCACAGGCATCCTTTCAAGTCCAAAAAGGTGCCAGCCGCCGCGACATCCTAGCACACAGTTCCCCAGGTGGGACCTGGTGACCTCCCCACTGCCCAGCCCTCAGTGGCTACTTATGTCTGAGCCCACGTGCCCAGCTCTTCGGTGCCTGTCCAGAGCTCTCCAGGATCAGAAGATGCTCACAACCAACTCAGCTACGTCAAGCTTCTGCAAAGACCCGTGGCCACTCCTAACGGGCGGCCAGCTCCACAGGAGCTGCTCCCGAACCAGGCCCTCAGGCGTCCATCAAGCATCAACTTCATGTCGATCGCTGTGCTGGGCACTGGCGATGCCGTGATGGACAAGACAGATGGAGTCCGTCCCTCCTGGCGCTTGTGCTTGTCGGGCACAGAAGTCACGCAACCTATGATGCAATTACTTGTGAATGTGCTGTTGTGATAGTGGGAGGTTGTGAAGAGTGTGTGGGCAACCCAGCCTGACCCAGCCCTGCGTAGGGATCCAGGAAGGCTTCTCGGAGGAGGTGACACATAAGTGGCAATCCCAAGGATGAACAGGAGGTAGTGCAAGAAAGGGATAAAGGAAGGAGCACGGGTTTTAATGTTTTATCTTGGATGTTTTAAAGTGGAGGCCATCACTGTCTGATAGTAGGACCCTGGACAGGTAAGTTTTAATGGGGGAAGGGAAGAGTCTGGTATAGACCATGGGGCCGGGGATGCCCGGGAGCATGGCAGGGTCAGGCCCCGAGTGTGGTGTAGACACAGGGCTTGGGGATGACATGGGGGATGGCTGGGTTGGGTCCTGATTCTGCCCATTTCTCCCCTGCAGTGGGGTGGGGGAGCGTCATTTCCATTTCTGGCTGCAAGGCAGACACACACAGTTCACACAGTGACCCTTTCCTGCGGACGGCCACTTCCTCCCTCTGTGTACCTGCCTTACCCTGGAGTAGGGCTCCTGGCCGCTCCTCACACACTCCTCGCAGCTCCCTCCCCAGGGCCCCTTGCACAGCTGGTCCCTGGGCCTGGGCACCCCCATTCTGCCCCTCGGCTCCCTTAGGTTCAGATATCCCCTGAGGGGCCTCCCTGGCACCCACCTGAACGGCCTCTCCTACATGTCCCCACCCCCCCAGCATTCCCCTCTGCCTATCGCCCGTCAGAATGGAAGTCCCAGGAGGGGAGCCCTGCCCGCGGAGTTCCCACCACATCCCCACTGCCAGAGGCGCTGGCACTAGCGGGCTCGCAGGCAGCCACAGTGAGCGGCATGGGTTCATGGCCTGCCAGGACCCAGGTGGGCCGATGCCTGTGTCCCCCTCACAGTCTGCAGCGTGTGTCTGGGGCGGGATGCATGTTCCCGTCACATCTGCTCCTCACCTATCATTTGATGACTTCAACCAACCTAGGTCCTAGGACAGTGAGCTCGGCGTGTCAGCATTTTGAAAAACCCTAACTTACCTCTGGTGCCGTGTCACATATAGAAATTTTTTGATATTTGCAGCCATAGTAAAACAAAGACTTATATTTTTGATATTTATTTTATATATTTAAATGCCATTTAACAAAGAAAATCAACCAAAAAAATGAGTTCACGTGTCACCTCTGACACGCATGTCATAGGTTCGCCATCACTGTCCTAGGAGGGGGCTGTGGTGTGCTGGCCCCGTTCCAGGCACCCGACTGAACAAGATGCGGTCCCTGCTCTGGGGAGTGGCATTCTGGCACAGGCAGCGCCAAGTCTGCTGTGGAAAGTCCTGCCTGGCTCCGCGTACCTGCCAGTCACGAGAAACTCGCCCCAAGCCCGGGAAACCGAGGCTGGCTTCCAGCGCAACCTCTCCTGTCAGCCCCGCAGGCCAGCTGGGGAGGCGGGTGGCGGGTGCCAGGCGGCCTGCCCGTGCAGGCGGGAGCGTCACCAGGGTGGGGCTGGCACGTGGGCCCAGCGTGGCTGGAAAGGGCAGGCAGGGGCCTGTGGGCTCACCCCACAACCAGCTCGTGCAATGCCACCCTCGGGCCCCTCCTTGGCACTGGGCCAGAGGGGGTTTCAGAGGGAGTCCCAGGGAGGCCCCCGCAGCAAGGCCACCCTGTCCCATCCGAGGTGGCCGTGGTGGCCCCATGGGAATCGCTGAAACTAGGAACTTGCCTTTTCTTTTCGGTCTGCCCCCAAATGCCAGGAAACAAACACTTCGTGTGACCCCAAAGCCAGTGAGTGAGGAAGTGACTCCTCCACCCCAACTGCTCAGAACTGGGGGTCAAGGCCACTCTGATAAGCCAGGGGTCACTGTTTGGTTAGCGCCTGGTCTTGGGGGGGGGCGGTTCAGTGCCCAGCAGGAAGCTGTGCCTTCCCAGCAGCACCCCTCACCCCCCACCCCAGCTGCCTGCTGAGCCAGGGAGGCCCAGGGACTTCCTGCCCCTCCCTGCGCCCCACCTGATGTGCCCGGAGCTGTTTAGGGCGGTTCCACCATCTGCCGACAGGCTCAGCCAGAAGGACGTGTGGTTCCTCAATGGGTTTATTATTTTATAGCAGAGGGAGGTGTGGCTGCTTTTAATCACCAGATCTCATTAGAAATGGGCGTTTTCACTGTTCCTTGCACAGCCAGGCCCTTCCAGAGGGATGAATGTGCGTGTCCCTCGCTCAGGTTGTCAGGAACAGACCACACACAGTTCCAGACTGAGCTCAGGGTGCTGACCGAGCCGTGTCTGGTGACATGCAGACACTGCCAGTGTGCTTGCTGCCTCATTACTCCCAGAGCACCCGCCGGGGTGGGCACTGCGCCCACCTACAGATGCATCATTGCCCCCCCCCGGCCCCCCAGGATGACGGGGGCGGGGCAGTATTTGATTGGCAGCAGGAAGATCAGAGGAGGCTGACCTTCCAACTCGGACCTTCCAACCATGGGCCCAAGTGGTTTCCCTCTCCATACCCGTTTCCTCTCGGGGAAGACCGGGTCTGCCCCACCTGCTCATCTCTCCTTGACAAGCGCCAAGGCTGCCACCTGGGGACGGGTAAGGCTCACCCAGTCCAGGTGGCGCGGTGGAGATGGGGCCGAGGGGACCTGGGCGTCAAGGACTGACACCGGTCTGTCCCAGGTCTTGAGAAGACAGAAGACCTCACCGAGCCCTCCAGAGGAGAAGGGGACCTTCGGGCCCTGCGAGGAGTCGGGCTCAGAGCGTGGGGCCTCTCTTGTGCACCTGGAAACAGCCCCGGCCTCCTCCGCGGGTCCGTGTTCCCGGGGGTCTGGCCCCACCTCGGCCTGGCTTCCTGTGAACAACCACCTGTGCTTTCTCCCACAGAATGGGAACCATGATTCTTACAGGGAAAACCCGTGGCAAGTTCCTTTACACT